GGTATTATTAACAGTGGTTTCATGTGAGGACTAGAGAAGTTTGGTAAGCACCCCCATCCTCACTGGTTCTCAGCAGGCTCCCATCCTGCTGCTCACAGCTCCACAAATTTCCCAGGACCCGGAGGGACCACAGACAGACACAGAGGATGGACTTGCTGAATTCTGGCAGAGGCACCACCGTGAACGCAGCTGTGGTTTTCAGAGAGGAACTTTGGGGCAGCCCCAACCCCCAGGGAAACAGGGGAGCACTGAGAAAACAATGGTGGGAACGGGGCTGTGGTAGGGCAGGGCTGCCTCTGGCTCACTGTGTGAATAGATCAGATGTCTCTCCATCAGGGGTGGGAAGAGCTGGGGGAGGGAAGGAGAAGAAACAAAACCAACAAGAGTCCAACCCAAGCAATCACTTCTGTCCTAAGGCCTCAGCAACAGCCTCCCATTTGGATCGGATGCCCAGCAGCTTTCCCTCCCTGCCCGGCTCTAATGATGCCCAGCAGCTTTCCCTCCCTGCCCGGCTCTAATGACACGGTGGTGTTCCTCCTGCTCCTCCTGCTTTGATCTACCGATTGATCTGCTCTTGTCTTATCATTTTCTTTCTTTACAACCTGGGGTCTTGGATGATGTGGAGGGGGCAGGGCACCCCCATGCTCTGGAGACCCTTTCTCTCCCCAGGAGATGGAGGGAAGAGAGAATGGTTTTATCCCCTTCTGGCCTCTGCTGGAAGAGGGGCCTAGTGGGGTTACTCCTTTTGGCCTTGAACTTGGCCCATAGCTGTGGGTTAAGAACCCTGGTTGTGGGTTCAGACTGACCACCTCTGACTTTGACCTCTGGCCCTTTGGCCTTGGCCAGGTAGTTACTCTCCCTGGACCTCAGCCTCCTCCTTTATAACAGGGAGAGAAAGAACTGCCTTTGCAGGGCTGTAGTAAGGACGAAATGAGCTAACGCCGGTGACAGCCCAAGCACAAGCAGGGAAGGTCACAATGACTGTCAGAGATGATTTTCCAGAAACAAGAGCTGCCTGGCCAATGGTTGAAGCCCCAGGGCTTGGCACAGAGTGGGCAACAGAAAGTGACTGTTAGACAGATGCCCACTTCGGGGAGGCAGTGAAAGCAAGCACGTTTGTATTATACGCTTCCCTTCTCACCTCCAGCAAAGGCTCCCAGCTGTCCACTGCTGAGGAGCCTGAAACACAACAGTGCAAGTGACAGTGACGAATGCATCAGTGCAACGATGACCATTCCTGAGCTAGCATTGCGCCTCAGCTTACGAAGCCCATTCCGCACTCATTCTCCAGTTTGATTCTCCCCACAATCTAGCATCGTTCTGGATTCAGACGGACCTGGGTTTGAGTCTTGACTTTGCCATGAACCACCAGCTGTGTGACCTTGGGCAAGGTCTTAAGCCTATCTGAGCTTCAGTTTCTCATCTCTCAAATGTGGGTAATGATAGCATCTCTCTCACAGGCTGTCATGAGGATTAAATCTGGTAAGGTCCCAGCGCTTGCGGAGCTCTGCAAAAAAACCTGTTGCTGTCGAGTCAATTCCAACTCATAGCGACCCTATAGTGACCCTACAGGACAGAGTAGAACTGCCCCATAGGGTTTCCAAGGAACACCTGGTGGATTTGAACTGTCGACCTTTTGGTTAGCAGCTGAACGCTTAACCTCTGGCAGCTGAACGCTTAACCACTGGCTCCACCAGGGCTCCAAATGTGTGGTAAATGCTCAATACATGTTAGTTTGAGAACAAAACAAACACACCTTGAAGGCAGATTGCTAACGCTCTGAAAACTTCATTTTAAGACTTAAAGAAACTAAGGTTCAGAAAGGTGATGTGACTCCACTGAGGTTACCTGACTAAGGGTGAGGGAGACTTGGGTCTTCCACGTGACTCAGTGATTGTTAGCACAAGCTTTGGAGGCCCACAGACCCGGACTTGAAGGCTGGCTCCACCATTCCCAGCCAGGCGACCTTGCGCAGGTCACTACTGCCTCTGAGGCTTAGTTGTCCTTATCTGCAAGATAGGGCTGCTTGCCTCACCTCAAAGAGTACCCTTTGTGTCTCCTGGCTCAGGGACTTTTTGCAAGTGCGAGGGTAGAAAGCAGAAGCTACTTGAAGACAACCCTTCTTCCTGTCCTTTGTGAAACCCTGAGCTCAGTAAGAAAGTTAAGCTGGGTGCCCCAGGTGAGTGGGGAGAGAAGAGTGTACCTCTGAGAGCTGCACCAAGGAAAGAGGAGTGATCCCTCCAGAGGTCATGGGTCCCTCAAGTGTTGGGGACCTGGGCCCCACTTGGGAGATAGCAAGGCCTCTGGGCACACCCCAGAGGATGAACCTAAGGCACAGTGGTTTCAAGTCTTGGCAAAGATTTCCGGACTCCAGGGGTGCCGAGGAAACATACAAGGCTGGACGTCAAGGGATCAAGCCCATTTGGACAATGGGCATCCATCGTAGGGGGAGCCAGGGTGGCACGAAGGCCAGGGGCCTCCCTCACCCTGCTGCTCTGTACGTAACCCTGGGAGTCTAAGCAGGGGCAAGAGAAGCTCAATATGCACTAAGATTCAATTTCCAAACAGCCCACTAGGATGAGGGCTCCGAGTCCTACTCAATGTTGATAATAAATAAAAGAACACCTACACACCTCTGAGGGCATGCAGTAAGATTAACTGGTACAACCAGAGGGAAGAGAAGAGACTGGCGCTGGAGGGCTCTGCTAGACTGAGCCTGGCTGCCAGTTGGCCCGCTTTCCCTGCCGTCCCAGGAATGCTGGCCAAGGGTAAAAGACACACTTCACTGGTGGAAGAAGACGCTGAGGCCCAGAACAGCCAGGGGGGCACCTCCAGGTGATAACAGGTGATAACAGAGCTGGGGGCAGGGTCATTGTGGCCTCCTCACATTCCTCACCATCCCCTCCTCCGCCCTTGAAGGCCTAGTCTTAGATTTGATGCCCTCAAGGTTTCTACATGCCACCCATTCGAGTGAGGAGCAGCCTGCTGCCTCATTTTATTCCCATCTCTGATTCACAGCAATGGATGTGGAAGAAGCAAGAGGCGAAGATCAAAATCCTGACCATTTATGGAGCCCCAGGAAGTACCCATCTTGGTGCATAGCGTAGTGCTGTCGCTATCCAAACCACCCTGAGTGATGTCCTCAGGGTCCACATTTCTCAGAAAAAGAAGCTGAGGGAAGTAGAGTGATCTGCCTGAGGCTGTAGAGCTGGTGGGGCAGAGTTCTGCCTCCAGGACAACACTCCCTAACACTACCCTTCAACAGAGAGGACTGTCTTTTGAACTGGACAACTGGCCTCAGGGCCTAGTGCTGGACTGTCTAGCTACCTGAGCTTCTCTCTGTGCCTCAGGTTCCCCATCTGTAAAATGAGGGCACTGAACTTACCAGCTGATCTCTAAAGCCTCTTTTATCTAGTTCTAGCATTTTGGGGTTCTTTCCTGGCCCATCGCCTGCTGTTTAAACCTGCAACTTGTAAGGCAGTATATCAAAGCAAACCAGTTGCCATTGAGTCGACTCCAACTCATGACGATTCTGTGTGTTGCACAGTTGAACTGCTCCACAGGGTTTTTAAGGCTGTGGCCTTTCAGAAGCAGACTGCCAGGCATTTCTTCGTGCTTAACTGTTTGCGCCACCCAGGGACTCCAAGGCAGTATAGGTTGCTGGTTAAAGGGTAGGTTGTGGAACCAGAGTGCCTTGGTTCAAGCCCAATGTCCTCACTTAAATACCTGTATCACTTCAGATAAGTCACTTAGCCCCTCCATCAGTAAAGTGGGAATAATAATAATACTGTATATAGGGTTGCTATGAGTCGGAATTGACTTGATGGCATTGGGTTTTTGGTTTTTTATAGTTGCCTTGGGGATTAAATAAATTAAACCATGAAAGGCCCATAGAGCAGTGCTGACCCATAAAACCAAAAAACCAAACCCATTACCATCAAGTCAATTCCAACTCATAGTGATCCTATAGGACAGAGTAGAACTGCCCCATAGGGTCTCCAAGGAACACCTGGTGGATTCAAACTGCTGACCTTTTTGTTAATAGCCATAGCTCTTAACCACTCTGCCACCAGGGCTTCCTATGCCACCAGGGTTTCCAACCCATAGTAAGGCTTTATCACCACCACTGCCAGTTGCCGTGGAGTTGACCCTTGACTCGTGGCAACCAATGTGTATCAGAGTAGAACTGTGCATGCTTTGTAGGTTTTTTTTTTTAAATTGTGCTTTAGGTGAAAGTTTACAGCTCAAGTTAATTTCTCATACAAAAATTTATACACATTTTGTTATGTGACATTAGTTGCAGTTCCTATAATGTGACAGCACACTCTTCCTTTCCACCCCGGGTTTCCCCTGTCCATTCAGCCATTTCCTGTCCCTTCCTGCCTTCTCATCCTGCCTCTCGACAGGAGCCACCCGTTTGGTCTCGTGTATCTGCTTGAACTAAGAAGCACGCTCTTCACGAGCATTATTTTATGTTTTACAGTCCAGTCTAATCTTTGTCTGAACAGTGGGCTTCGGGAATGGTTTTAGTTCTGGGTTAACAGAGCATCTGGGGGCCATGGTTTCAGGTCCATAGGGTTTTCAATGGCTGATTATTCACCAGGTAGATCACCAGGCCTTTCTCCTGAGGCAACTCTGGGTGGACTCGAACCTTCCACCTTTGGGTTAGCAGCTGAGCGCATTAACTGTTTGCATCACCCAGGGACTCCAAGTCTATATACGTGTTTGCTATGATTACCTTCTGTTCTGATCTGTGTGGGAATGAAAACTAAGTGCCAATTTTTGGTCCCATCTGAAGACGAGAACCCCATAAGTCCTGAGCATCCCTGTGACCCATCTTCAAAAACCTCAGGAGTCCTGATATGACATCCACCCCCGGTCCCAGATAGGCACTAGCTTGTTACATCCCTGGAGGGACAGTCTAAGGTAAGAAGAACACAGGTTTTCTGGAATGAGGAAGAACCCCAAAGAAAAGAGAGAGAAAAAAAAAAGTTACTCACGGTTGTCTGTGGCTGAGCTCCCGGTCTCTGCCCGGTGTTGAGGGATCCTGGCTGTTCTGTGTCCACTCTCAAGGCGTGGTGCTGGGTCTCTGTCAGAGCTCCTTGTGAGCTGCCTGCCCCCAAGGCCACATTCTCTTGCTTTTGCTCTGTTTTACACATGAGTGAGTATAAGGATGTCTGGCCTTCCGCCTCTGTCACCACTTCCCCTCCGGTCCCAGGGCCACAGCGTTCTTACCCCTGCAGTTGAGTTGTTTCCCATGATAAGCTCTGGTCAGTGTGGGGCATGGACATAGGTCCTGGTGTTGAAAGACTTGGGTTCTAATCTAGTTTGGCTGTATGACTTTTGAGCAAGTCACTTAACCTCCCTAAACTTTAGTTTGTCGTCTGTAAAATGGGGATAATAGACCTACCTTACATGAATAACCCAAAAGGACATTGTCATTCCAACCCCTCTTCTCCATTAGACCAGGGCTTTCGAATGCAAATATGTGCAAGTTGTTGTTGTTGGTGTGTGCCCTAGAGTCGACTCTGACTCATAGCAACAGTGTAGAGTAGCAGTTAGATAAACATAAATGAATGAAAGGTATGGGGATGGGGCAATAGGGAGTGGTGGGGACTATGGGGAATAGGAGAGCACATGGCCTTTTAGCAGGCACCTCTTGTTGTTGTTACTAGCTGTTGAGTTGGTTCCAACTCATAGTGACCCTACGTACAACAGAATGAAACACTGCTGGGTCCTAAGCCATCTTCACAATGGTTGCTATGTTTGAGCCAATTGTTGCAGCCACTGTGTCAATACATCTCACTGAGGGTCTTGTCTTTTTCGCTGACCCTCTACTTTACCAAGCATGATGTCCTTCTCTAGGTACTACCTCTTAGCTCCAGCCAATCTTTGCCACTTGGAAGCGCAAACCCAGTTGCCAAATATTCCAAGCATAGGGAAAATGTGTCACTTTTTCAAGAGATACTAGAAATCTTGGCTTTTATGCAATACCTTCCCATTGAGAACGTTGACCACAAAGTTAAATCTTTTAAAAACGTTATGTGGCTCAAACAAAACACCATATGTTTACTAGATCATGAGCTCCCTGAGGTATTGTACCTGATATGGTACTCAGGTATTATACCCGATATGGTTCAAAGTGTTTTCACATACATTATCAGATAAAATATTTAGTTAGAATCTACTAGGTCTTAGGGATACAAAGATGAATATGATAAATCCCTGTTCTCCTAGCTCATAGTCTACGATTATCTCATCAGAGACTCTCACTAACTGCCCCCCACACCATAGATTCACCCCAGATACCGAGGAATGGATCTGGGCTAGTGGCTCTCAACAAAGGAGATTTTGCCCCCGAGGTAGGGTTGCCAGATTTAGCAAGTAAAAATAAAGGACTGCAAAATTTGGGACATACATATACTAAAAAATCATTCATTGTTTGCCTGAAATTCAAATTTAGCTGGGTGTCTTTTGTCTGACATAGCTTTTATCTGGCAACCCTACCCTGAGGGGACATTTGGTAATAATCTGGAGATATTTTTGGTTGTCACAACTGGTGAATTCTTACTGACATCTAGAGGCCAGGAAGGCTGCTAAACATCCTGCAATGCAGAGGACGTCCCCTACAACAGGAATTACCCAGCTTAAAAGCTCAGCAGTGCTGAGGTTGCAAAATCCTGGTTGGTCTAGAACTAGCTCTAGCCCCTTCAGAAAAAAACTACTTTGCAGGCGGGGGCCTTTAATTTGATAATTAGTCCCCTTGGGAGAGGGCAGAATGACAGCCTTCCGCTCTTGTGTTGTTGGCATTGTTAGCTGCCACAGAGTTGGCCCCCAACTCATGGCAACCCCACTCACAATGGAACAAAATGCCGCTTGGTCCTGCTTCAACCCGATGATTGATTGCTGATCAGACCCTGTGATCCCTGGGGTTTTCTTTGCTTGATTTTCAGAAGAAGATTGGCTAGATCTTTCTTTCCAGTCCTTCTTGGTCTGGAAGTGCTTCTGAAATCTGTTCAGCATCACAGTAACACACCAAACTCCACTGAAGACAAGTGGTGACTGTACATGAGGTGCATTGACTGGGACTCGAACCTGGGTCTCCCCCATAACCCATTGCCATCGAGTCAATTCCAACTCATAGCAACTCTACAGGACAGTGTAGAACTGCCCCATAGGGTTTCCAAGGAGTGGCTGGTGGATTCAAACTGTTGACCTTTTGGTTAGCAGTCAAACACTTAACTTGCCACCAGGACTGAGTCTCCACCATGGAAGGTTAGAATTTTACCCCTGTGCCACCACTGCCCCATTTGCTCTTGTACCTATCCCCCAAAGCAAGTAATTTTTTTTTTTTGCATTTTTATTTTTTATTTTATTTTTATTTTTATTGTGCTTTAACTGAAAGTTTACAATTCAAGTTAGTCTCGCATACAAAAATTTGTACATACATTGTCTCGTGACCCTTCTTGCTCTCTCTATACTGTGACAGCACACTCTTCCTTTCCACCCTGGATTTCCTGTGTCTATTCAACTAGCTCCTGACCCTTTCCGCCTTCTCATCTTACCTCTGGACAGGAGCTGTTCATTTAATCTCATGTATCTACTTGAGCTAAGAAGCACACTCTTCACAGAGTATCGTTTTATGTTTCATAGCCCAGTCTTTGTCTGAAGAGTTGGCCTCAGGAATGGTTTTAGTTTTGAGCTAACAGACAGCCTGGGGGCCATGTCTTCCAGGGTCCCTCCAGTCTCAATCAAACCATTAAGTCTGGTCTTTTTTACTAGAATTTGAGTTCTACACCCCACTTTTCTCCTGCTCCATCCGGGACTCTCTGTTGTGTTCCCTGTCAGGGTGGTCATTGTGGTAGCCAGGCACCATCTAGTTCTTCTGGTCTCAGGCTGATGAAGTCTCTGGTTTATGTGGCCCTTTCTGTCTCTTGGGCTAATACATTCCTTGTGTCTTTGGTGTTCTTCATTCTCCTTTACTGCAGGTGGGTTGGGACCAATTGATACATCTTAGATGGCCGCTCGCTAGCTTTTAAGACCCCAGATGCCACTCACAAAGTTGGATGCAGAACATTTTCTTAAAAAACTGTTATGCCAACTGATCTAGATGTCCCCTGAAAGCATGGTCCCCAGACCCCTGCCCCTGCTACTCTGTCCCTTGACGTGTTTGGTTGTATTCAGGAAATTTCTTAGCTTTGGCTTAGTCCAGTTGTCCTGACTTCCCCTGTAGCGTGTGCTGTCCTTCCCTTCACCTAAGATAATTCTTTTCTTCTTTCTAGTTAGTGAATACCCCTCTCCCTCCCTCCCCACTCTTGTAACCATCAAAGAATATTGTCTTCTGTGTTTAAACCTTTTCTTGGGTTTTTATAATAGTGGTCTTATACAATATTTGTCCTTTTGCAACTGACTAAGTTCACTCAGCATAATACCTTCCAGATTCTTCCATGTTATAAGATGTTTCACGGATTCATCATTGTTCTTTAGCGTTGCGTAGTATTCCATTGTGTGAATGTACCATAATTTGTTTATCTATTCATCGGCTAATGGGCACCTAGGTTGTTTCCATCTTTTTGCTATCGTGAACAGTGCTGCAATGAACATGGATGTGCATATATCTATTTATGTGATGGCTCTTAATTCTCTAGGATATATTCCAAGGAGTGGGATTGCTGGATGGTATGGTACTTCTATTTCTAGCTTTTTAAGGAAGTGCTAAATCGATTTCCAAAGTGGTTGTACCATTTTACATTCCCACCAGCAGTGTATAAGTGTTCCGGTCTCTCCACAATCTCTCCAGCATTTATTATTTTGTGTTTTTTGGATTCATGCTAGCCTTGTTGGGGTGAGATGGTACCTCATCGTACTTTTGATTTGCATTTCTCTAATGGCTAATGATTGTGATCATTTCCTCATGTGTCTGTTAGCCGCCTGAAAGTCTTCTTTGGTGAAGCACCTGTTCATATCCTTTGCCCATTTTTTAATTGGGTTGTTTGCCCTTTTGTTGTTGAGGTTTTGCAGTATCTTGTAGATTTTAGAGATTAGACACC